ATCGTCTTCGAGGAAGAAATGTGGCCGGAAAAAAATCCTGAATGATCGTGATCGGCGATCACTTAAACGTTTGGTGAAATCAAATAGAAGAAAAACAACAGTAACACTCAGGGCTATATTTAAAAGTCAAAATAAGAGCATTTCCACAAGCACAATGCGAAGGGAACTCAAGGAATTGGGACTGAACAGCTGTGTAGCCTTAAGAAAACCACTAATCAGTGAGGCTAACTGGGAAAAAAAGCTTCAGTTTGCTAGGGAGCATAAAGATTGAACTCTGGAGCAATGGGAGAAGGTCATGTGTCTGATGAGTCCTGATTGACCCTGTTCCAGAGTGATAGCACATCAGGGTAAGAAGAGAGGAAGGTGAAGTAATGCACCCATCATGCCTAGTGCCTACTGTACAAGCCTGTGGGGCAGTGCTATGATCTGGGGTTGCTGCAGTTGGTCAGGTCTAGGTTCAGCAACAGTTTGTGCTCAAAAAATGAGGTCAACTGACTACCTGAATATACTGAATGACCAGGTTATTCCATCAATGGATTTTTTTCCTTCCCTGATGGCACAGGCATATTCCAAGATGACAATGCCAGGATTCACTGGGCTCGAATTGTGAAAGAGTGGTTCTGGAAGCATGACATCATTTTCACACATGGATTGGCCACCACAGAGTCCTTTGGGATGTGTTGGAGAAGGCTTTGCACAGTGGTCAGAATCTGCCATCATCAATGCAAGATCTTGGTGAAAAATTAATGTAACATTGGATGGAAATAGATCTTGTGACATTGCAGAAGTTTATCGAAACAATGCCACAACGAATGCATGCCATAATCAAAGCTAAAGGCGGCACAACGAAATATTAGTGTGCAACCATTTTTTTTTGGTAGAGACTTTTTCTGGCCAGTGTACAACCCATCGTTCATTTTGAAGACTACAGACCAACAAAGCCCACTACATATGAACTAACATAAATTTTGTGTGGGTACCGCTACTCCCCTAATATACATTTTATTAGCTAATCTAATATAAGTGTTGGCTTGTAATCCTGAATAGATTACCTTCCAGTGTGTAGATGTCCCGGCCCCATGGATATTTGTGATACTTCTTGACATCTTCTTCTGTTCTCGTGGTTTCAGGGAAGAACTCGTACTTGATTAACTCTCTGAAAGGAAGAGAAGCCGTACAAACATTAATTCATGACTCGTGGTTTAAATTCAATCTGACCTTACACTTGCACACAATGTAAAACACGCAGTTTATTAGATCCTAACACATTTTAAATAATCTAAAAACGTTAAGTCCGGTCCTCTGGACATTCAAAAAGCCAAACAAAGCAAAGGGTGTAACCAACATGTAGCCAAGTTGTAGCCAACATGTAGCCAAGGTGTAGCAAACATGTAGCCAAGGTGTAACCAACATGTAGCCAAGGTGTAGCAAAC